AACTCGAGCTTTTCAGGACAGGCTCCTGGACAAGGAAATGAAACCTGGAAGCAGCAATTGATTGGAGGTTTTCTGACCTTAGCTGTGATGAAGGGTGGCCAGTTGTGGAGGACTGGCTGACTCTAAAAGACCAGTAAGTGGCAGGACACAGGCCCCTGAGCACAGGCTCTAGCTCCCTAAGGATGCCCAGGTTTCTTCTGGATCTTGGACAGCTTCGTATTTGAACTGGGCCACTACATCGCACAGATCAGCGCATCTGAGCTGAGCCAGCTTCCTCTGCAATCTCAAAGGCTCTGCTCCCCGCAGTGACAGCCTTTACCTGCAGAAGGGCACCCAGTTGTCAGGAGGCGCCTAAGGGGCCCTCCGCCAGACACAGTGAGGGTAGGGACCTCCCACAGCTCGGGGAGGCCAGGCGGGGACCTCTGCACCCAGTCCCCACTTGGTTGAGGGAACAAGAGGAAATGAGAGAGGTGACATCACTGCCCTGCCAATGCCCCAGCAGGAGGGGGAGGGGAGGCAGAAGGCATGGAAGCTGGAAGGGGGAAGGGCGTTGGCTTGATGGAAGGGTGTCCTGTGACATCAGTGGAGGGCGTGTCCTATGCAGATAAGGCAGCGCGGGGGCTGCTGGTTGGAGCCCTGGTGTTGAAACCTCCTGATTTTCCTGTGACCAGGGAGACAGCTTAGGGCGGTTTTTGGCAGCCCAGCGCATGTGCTGCATGGAAGGGCTAGGAGGAACCGAGAATGCTTGAAGGTGAATGAGCCTGAGTGCAGAGTGAGGCACGCAGGAGGCTTGGTGGTGGAGGGTGGAGCAGCAGTCATATTTACCTGGCAGGGGAGATACCACTATCATAAAGCTGGTTTTCCAGGGCGAGGCTTATCCATTACACTCCGGATGTGCTGACCCCCGCGATTTCCACAAATGCGGGAAACTCCACTGCAGAATTTGTGGTAGTGGTGGATTGCCTTCGTACTTACTGCGTTTTGTTTTTTCCAATTTCATTGTGTTCTAAGCCTGGTGTATCCAGGTCAAGAGGTAAGTAGGTATTTATTATACTACATACTTTCTAGGGTTTATTTGTGTATGTTCCTTTTTTGGAAGGTATTTTCCTTAACACATGTTGTTGAGAAGGATGGCTTTTTGCTTTTTTCACTTTGTGTTTCTGTGGCATATTAGTTCTGCTTATCAACGGGACAAGTTCTCTACTGGACGTACCGCATGACAAGACCCTGCTAACAGACCGACTGTCCCGGAGTCTCTGCTTTTCCTCCAGGAAAAAAGCAACAGCAAGTGCAACAATCTGAGATGCACATAGAAAGAAAGTCGGACTGCTGGCCCGACCAAGTGAGCTCACAGCCCGAAAAGCCGAGCATTACAGGGCAGCGCTAGTTTCACTGCTCATGGGACTGTTTCCCACGAGTTCCTTGAACCCTGAGCAGTACACAGCAAGGTAGAAGCTATTTCAAGTGCTAGGCTATTTCTGTTTTCCTTCCTTTTACTTTTTTTCTTTCTCCTCCTTTCCTGTAAAACTCTAAAAATTTGAGCTACATGTTCCACTTTCACCTTGAAGATCCGCTTTCCAGGTCACTTGACACCCACATGGGAGGAAGAGCGTGGTAAATTTATTTGAAGGGATCATCATGGAGAGTCTATAAATACTTTTGCTTTTAGGGGTATTTCTATTTATAAATTTTATATATTGTATTAAACAACGTATAGTTAAGAAGAAAAAGAAATGACATAAGATTACATTTTAATATATATAATGTTGACATGAAACATTATTTTCAACATCATCCGTTTACTTGCCCATAAAATCTAAACAAGAATAGAAATACATTTCTAAATGAAATATAATCAAAATTGAAAATGTTATCACTGGTGCAGTGTTTGCCTCTCATGAAATAGCACGTTCCACATGCAGGCCTACCTTACACTGACAGCATGTATTATTTGCTTTCCTGTCTTTAGGGCAGGCCATACCGGTCATCACTTCTCTTCCTGTTTTCTCAGGAGGCTCCCACTGTACCGTGTGCACTTCGCAGGAAATGAAATATCAATAAAATAAAATATTAAATATGCTATACCTTCAGGAAAACAATGTCTCCTAGATCAAGGATTTGCTTAATAAATCTAAAATATATATATGTATATATAAATCTGTATGTGCAGTAGACAAGGGGGTGCACACCTATAATCCCCCAAGTCAGAGGCAGAGGCAGGGAGATTCCCTTGAACTCAGGATTGCCTTGCACTACAGTCAGACCATTTCTCAAAAAAAAAAAAAGCAAATCAATAAAAAAACACATGATCAGTATCCCTTATTGTGCACTGATTAAGCCCACAACCTCCCAAGTGAGTACAGAGAAGACTCAAAAGAGTTAAAGTCCAGCTAGATAACTCAGCAGACTAAAGGGCCTGCTTAGGCAGAGTGCAGCAGCCAGGTTTTGATGCGAGCTGTGTGACCCGCCTCCTGGGGCTGACTGAGATGCCATTGAGATTGGGACGTGGCACTCACCCGTAATCCCAGCTTTAGAAAGGCTGAACAGGGGCTGATCACAATGAGACAGATCTATGTCCTGAGACCCTTTAAGCCTGGTAGAGTCTGTCCTAAATACAAATAATAAATAATAAGGAGCATGATTTTAAGGCTCCAGGATGATAAAAGCCCTTTCACAGATTTTGGGATTTTGCACAGGTTAAGAGAAAGACATCGTCTGGGTGGCCAATATCTATTTAATTATCAAAGGAGGAGAATACTGAAGAGGGTGGACATCTGAGCGGGACCATTCAAGGACCTCTCCATTACTCCATCATGTCCACTTAGGAGAACTATGTTACCTCCAGGAAGGGCTTCCCCACAGGAGTGAGATGTCTGCAGCTACAGTCCTTGTCTAGTTAATGGAGCTTGGAACAGGCATCCTTAGCTGTGGCCTTGTCTTCTCCTGGGAGGCTTTGAGGCTTCACACGCCAATGCAGGCCTCAGCTGGGATCAGTGACTCACTGAGGTTCACTTACTATGCATCCCCTGCCCATCTCCAGACCAGGGGCCTCAACGTGGACAGACTCCCAAGGAGGCATGGAAAGCCGATTGGGCACTTACATCCTGTTCAGAGCTGCTTCATAGCGGTTTCCATCAAAAAACTATGTAGACTACAGTGAATATACAAGTAAAACTCTACCACAAAAATAATCTGTACTTGAATGATTATATGCAAGGCACTTTTCACACGTG